CTGTTCGCTTCCCCTGAAAACAAGAATGTTGGGGATTGAATCTGGAATATGAATCAGAAAACCAGTAATTGTGTTGGAGTGTCATAGTCTAAGCAGCTGAAATAGCCTTGACAAAATGTGCAACTTTGTCCTAGTGGTGATAAGATTGTCATCCAAAAATATCATTTTGTTAGTGCAAACAACACTGATTGACCTGTGTAAGTTTATCTCATTTTGGCCTGTGTCATCTGTCAGAATATGTATCTGAAGTCTTCTGGGAGCATGTTTTTGATTGTTAGTGCAGTCTGCAATTGTTGCTTCTGCTAAAGCTAGATAAGCCTGTTACAAAGCCCCAGTGGGACCTGCAGTATCCTGGATGAATATACTCTACCTGTAAAATGTACTCTGCCTGTGGTTTACATGCTCATAAACAAACAATTGGCCACCAAAAATGTGGATTCTTGCATCAGAGACAGTTCTTCTTCAGGTGTTGAAAGTGTCAGCCATCCAGCAACTGTCTTGAACCAGTCTGTTTCTCGTGAACATAAGTCAGTGTGTTGTGTTGTGTGTAGTCATTTCCAAGACGTTATAGAAGATCCAGTTGCCTAGAAGAAGCATAGAAGGTCTGCCACATCTTAAGAGACTATCTGTGAAATTGCGTTTACTTGCAAATTACCACAAAATTCCTGCTTTTGTAGAGATGATTTACAGTTAATGGATGTTTAATTCCACGTAATTAATAAAAATGTTTTTTAAAGTGTGCTACGGAACTTGAATGCTGTGAATATTCTGGATACATGGCAAATATTTTTCTTTTTAATGTGGAATTTTTCTAATGAACTGCTAAACCTGCAAATCATTTAGACAACAGTTTTGAGGAGGTTCTGGTCTTGAACTGTGTTGGTGGCCTGTTTGAATAGGCCTGGAGTGGCTGAAAGGTAATAGGAAATTGGTGAAGGGCAATTGAAGAAAATTATATTGTAGTTTATTCATTTAAATGTTTAGGGTTTCTTAAAGTTTGTTCTTTACTCTCTTTATAGTTAATCTCTTCGTAAGGTTCTTGTTATGGTAGTAGGCATACTTTTATATCTTTTTATAATTTTTAATGCTTTCATAATCTAAATCTTAAGCAAGATTTCTTTGCTCGAAAAAGACTTGTGCAACATTGACAGTGACCTTAGAGGTAGCCCAAGCAGAAGAGAAGTCCTTCTGATAAACAGAGGCTCTTGCTGTGATAATGCCTTCTTTATTCCTAAGTTCACTGAAGAGAGCTGTTTTGAGAAATGCTATGGATAAGATTGAAATTTTCGTTGTGTGTGGATTTTGACAGTCAAAAAATATTTTGTAGTGGCTTAGAAGGTGTGAGCTGCACATATTCTTGCAGTAATGAAACTGTTTCTGTGAGGACAACATAATATCTGCAAGAGAAGGATGCAACTCAAGTGTGCAGACATGACAAAAGGTCTTTAATTTAGGTAAATGTCCTGTGGCTAAATTTTTGTCAGCTAAGCAATACCTTTATAGAATTTTCCTAGTCATGTTTATTTATTTTTATTAAGTGACTTTCTCCTACTGCTTTTATACAATTACACATTTTTTTTTCAGCAAAATGCTTAGAATTCAATTTGAAGAATGGTTAGGTATTGTTCTTTGTATATATATTCTATCTAGGAATATATGTATTCTAGGAAGTCTTTTCAATCTGGATCTTTCTGAAAGGTCTTTTAGGTTTTTCAGGTGAAAAATGTCATTTCTACATCAGTAACTCATTTTTTTTCCTGAATCAATGTTAGCACAGTGATTAAGTATACTTGCGCACGTATATGCATATATATGTATATATATGAAAATGCGTGCGCGTTGTGTATATATATATATAGTTTATTTGTTTTGACCACAAAGAACTGGTGTCATATATTCTCCACTATCTCTTCCACTTCACCATCACTGAAAGTTACTAGGCAAGAAAACTGGTAAAGTGTTTGTTTGTTTGTTGTCTTTCAAGACACAGCATTTGTGTTGCTTTAGTTTTGTCCACAGGCAGTACTTTTACTTGAAAGAATAACATTATATATGTCATTCTTGTATCTAGAAAAAAGACATTGTTTTTAAATGACTCTATATTAAAATTTTCTTACTTTATGAATTGTTAGGTTACAACAGAAAAAACTTGAGTATTCCCTTGGCAGTATTCCTGGAAGTAAAAGCTTTCTCAAAATTTCCTTCCTAAATGGAAATCAAAATCCTATTTAGGAATCTACAATGTGGCCTTACCTTAAGGAAGAATTGCATTTTCTGTTGCATGCTTAGTACTTCTGGAAATCAAATGCAATATTTAAGTTTCCAAATATTATTAAGATACTTAAATTCATGCTTAACTTTCATGAAAATGCTCTCCTTTACAAAAGGTGTATTGTACATTTTTTTTTTTGTTCAGATGATAGAATGCATAATTTTTGTGGACAGAATTATATACTTATTATAAATTTCAAACTAAATGAAGTGTTTAATACAATGCATATTATCTTCCTTCAATGATTTTCCAATTTAAATTATTTTGTGCCCAGTCATTGCATTTGTCTTGGGAGCAGACTACAAATCTATATAGTGACTCAAGTCCTGCATTCTTCATTGATTATAATATGAACTTTAATTCATTTAATGCAGCACAAATCTGTTTTTTTAAATTAATTTGAAATGCACTGTTTAGAAGGAACTTTATTGTTTTGCATTTTTGGCAGTTCTTTCAAATGATATATATTAACCCTGAATAGGTAACCCATACTCAGTACTTAAGGTACTTGTTTGCCTCTGAATTTCCTTTACATAGTTCGGTGTAGAGTATAACTTTTTTGTAATTAATTGGTAACTTTTCCCAACTGATTTGTCTACTTTTTTTTTCCATCCGTGAATATTAGAAAGAACAGATGACAACAGACATGTTTTTTAAAGGAAAATGAGAGCATCTCATAATTGTTATGTCAGTTTGTTCCTTTATTTTACTTGCATTGTTTGCCTGTAACAGTTGTATTTTAAAATGAAAATTTTGTGTTTGCTCTAAGAATCTTTTCCAAAAATACATTATTCTAAACTTGTCAAAATGCAATGTATCAAGCTCTTTTACCTCACTTTTTCCCTTTTAGGAATCATAGTAACTCATATTTCTCTAGTTAAAAATCGTTATTACTTCATTATACTCTTTTTTGGCAATAACCTGCCAACCTTGGCAAACTCTTCTGAAATCTCTAGAGGATAAATGACATGCTGTGCTGTGAACTGTTACTGAGAGTAATAGGCGTTAGTAACATTGCAAATTATACTCCATACAAAGTGCAGTAAATATGCAGTAAAATGAAGTTGTGCTAGGGAAAAATGAAATATTTTAAAATTACATATTTTCCATGACTTTGAAATGTGTGGATTTCAGTTATTCGTAGTACTTCTCCTGGTGATTATTCGTAGTGATAAATGCTACTCTGCCTCTCTCTGTTAAGAAAGATAATAATTAGTCTTTATAACAATAATAAAGAGGAACTTTCTCACTGTTGCTGTTTATTGAGTTAATCGGTTCCATTTGCTATCAACCTATTTCTGTTGGTCTATTAGTGATACAACTCTGTAAGTTTTCTGTGTGTTTCTGTTATCTTGCATTTTAACATTGCACGGATTCCTCCCTGCTCGTACGGGAGCGGGGAAGAGACCAGTGCTTGGGCAGGATAGGAACTGGGAGCATGTGTTCAGAGAAACGTGGGTGTTTAGATGGCTCTCACCATGCTCCGTCAGTATTTCAATCATATGGGCTTTTCAGGAGCATGCTGCCATCTTTAAGTACTATGTCCTTCTTTCCCCCCCTTTTTTTTTATCCTTCCTGGTAGAAATTGTGCTTTCATCTTCTGATAGTCTTGCTCTATAAAGTATGGAGAACGCCAAACTGACCATATTCTGGAAGCTTTTCTCCTCTTCCTCTTTCTTGTCTTCCCCTGTTTTCCGTAGTGCTGCATAAAATATACTTACTGTGATATGGCTGAAGATATATATATATATATATATAAATATACACTTATATACTAGGCTGAAGAACCTGAGGCTGTCATTTTAGAGAAGGCAGCGCTGTGTTTGCGGTGCTCCGTACATCCCTGTTACAGCACCAGATGTTAAAGCACCAGATGTTAGATGAATTTTTTCCCTGTGGATGTTACTCCCTGTTTGGGAAAGGGAATCCTTGCGCAGAATCAAGTCCTGTGTGGTTTTGTTTCTCCCACATGGAAGAAGACAGTGCGTGCTGGGAGTGAGTGATGTGATCTCCTGTGCTGCCATGACGGAAGCCGTTGGTGCTACACGTGGCCCCGTTAACAACTGGCATGAGTGGCACCCATTTATCTCCATGTGCCGATCAACTTCACTGTATCGTTATGAAATGCAGGGTTATTATTTCATAACTGGGGCTAGCAAATTGCTGCATAAATTAAGGATGAAATATTCATTCATATAAATTAGAACAAGATGCAAAGAAGTGAAAAATACTGGCTTGGAAACCTATCAGATATTTCTAAGGAATAGAACAGAGATAAAAATAGAGGTAAATAATAGAGACAAATTAAGATTGCTCTACATTCTGTCCTTTTTCTTGGTAGATGGGTATGTATGCGCACTGTGCAAGTGCATGATTCATGTGTGCAGGAAGTATCCATGGGTAGTAGGATGATCATTAAACTTGGAAAAATATAGAACAAAAATTTTTAATAAATTTTAGATGATGAAAGAAAGGATGATGTAAACTGTCAAAAATTTATTTGAATTATTTCACTTTTTTCCAAAAGTGTAAAGAAAAAAAAAGAGCTGAAAATACGCTAAAACCTCTAGGAACTATTTTTTTTTATACAGATTTCTCAGTAACTAGCAATGACTACATGAAAAATACTAAAATGTTCAAAAATATTATTTATTTTAAAATACTATGAGATTTTTTGTTTTTCTTTTTAATAAAAATAACCTCAATTTTGCTTAATTTGCCTTCTTAGGCTTCTTCCCAAGCAGCTCTCAAGGATGTGATGCTTTTCTTCGCCACAAGATGACCTTGATTTCTCCCTCAATATTGAAAAAGTATGGAATTCCTTTTGACAAGGTACATTAGCGTTTGTTTTTAAACTGTGCATTCATGCATTGAATTAGATTATGTGTACTATAGAGACTGTTTATAATACAGACGAGGCAAAATTATTATTTTTTATTTAGGTACTGTCTCCCTGACAAGGTTAAAACAAGTGCTTATGGTATTATGGCTTTTAAGTGGTTTAGTTTGGAATTTTCTCATGGAAAATACTTGCAGGTATCATAATTTGAACCCTGAAAGATGCTGTGCTTTTAAGATATACACATTATTTATTTCTCTGCAAGATTGTATGGGTTCTGTGTTGATTTAAATACTTTCTAATATTAAGTTATGTTCTATATCTGATATTTTGAAATGCTCATTTCTCCCTGTTTGCATATTGCACTTCTGACACAGTTCAATGTGACTTCATTGACAGCATTATCTAAAAAAACCCTTGATAATATTTACATGGTGGAATAAAACTGAAATAAATATTATTTAAAATAGAATTATGTTTTTAAAGATGCACCATATTACAAAATGGTGATTTTTCTTTCTTTTTTGGTGCTGTACTGGCAGGTTGAGAATGGGTGGATAATGGGAACTTTATGTATATAAACTGTGTGCAAAAAAAAGTCTGTCTTCTTTGTGTGTGAATATAGTATATATCTGCTTTGCAAAAATCTGAATTATACTTTAGCGTTCTCCCTCCTTAAAGATTTCTTGCTTTTTTCCTCTCCACTTAGAATGTTTTCACTTGTGAATAACTTTGGACTTCATGTAGATGCTAGCTAGTAAATCACTTTTGCTGTATTGCGTTTTTTAAAGCATCCGTGTTCTGTATCTTGAACAGCTTTGTATATTCTGTGTTTCTAAATTCAGCAGCTTTGCAACTGTCCGCTGAAGCGCAGAGCTTGATTCAGAAAGTCCTCTGCCTAAACATCTCCTTGTTACACTGACTTCTTAAAAGCCTTCTTGTCACTGATCGATAATGATTCCTGTTTTCTCACTGCCCAGCCTGCTTTAAGGTGTTTGGATGAACCAGGCAATACATACTTGTTCTAACTCTGTTCCCCTTCCAAAATAATCCTATAAACCATCCTTGTCACACTCCTTGTTTATTATTGTAGTTTCTGTTTTCACATGCAAGCCATTTTATTTATAGGTACCAAGAGGATCTTGGTATACAAGCTCAACTCCTCCCTTTCCCCTGCCTAGAATATGGTATAAGGTGTGCTGTTCACCTGTTTTGGTTGAGATTTATGTAATAACATGAAATGTAGCCCGTAGAAATAATATTTTAAGGGAATATTTTCCCATGTATATATAATGCTATCAGAAAAAAAAACAGAAAATCTTAAAATTTACGGGATGGTCTTACAGTAGGTTGTACTTCATAACCCAAGTACTCTCACCTAAAGTGTATACATTATTGAAGAAATAAATACAATTGGAGATAGATGGTGTCTTTAAAGGGATTTGCCATAGAAATTTATCAACAATGTAACAGGTTCTCAGACACTCTTAAAAGTAGAATTTCATAGCAAATTGTAAAGCATGCAAGCACCTGCACACCAATGATCAAAGTCTGACAGCAGTAATTATCAATAGCAATATTGTTAGTTAAACAGTGCTAACTAGTAGAGCCAGTTGTGTTTTATGCTTTCAGTGAAACTGAGTGGATGCAAATTTATAAAGTTTATTTGATTGAAAGAAGCTTGTGAGAAAGGCATCGTTTCAATAAAAGCAAAGGAGCCAGGAGTGAGGTAGACATACGTGGAAAGAAGCCATTGATTTGTTGGATGTCTCTTGGAAGGTTGCTTAACTTCTCATGCTTAAATCAACCTAAGTGTAAAATGTAGGCAGTTGGAATGAGGCTGCCTGCCTTGAAAGAAAGCTTTTACTCACATAAAAAGTAGTTTGTTTTCTGAATGATATATTACCATATGGAAATGCTGTGAAGGAGCTCATTCTTGTAACATCTAAGTAACTACTCTCTTCATAGCTTTGTACTTCATCATGAAGTGTCAGATAAAACTTTCCAAATTGGATTTATAGTTTTGGATTTACTGAATGTTTGCTGACATACTTGTTTTCAGTGCCCCCATCTGAGCCGATGGCTTTATTTCCGTGTCCTGGACTTCGCTGTGTTTTAGCTCTGAAAATGAGTGCTAGGGGTAGTTAAATGAGTTTAGTTCTGTCACCTCGTGTTAGCAGGAGGAGGCAGACTGTGCCCGAGTGTAATTGTAATTAATGGGATTCAGTGAGTGGAGGGAGCCAGGCTCCCGCGGCAGCCGTGCGAGGAGCGCGGGAGCGGGCACCGTGCGCGCCTGTACACGTTTGTGTGCGTGCCCCGTGCCACCCGCGCGCAAAAACAAGCTTGTGAAAAGTGCAAATGTAATTCTTACTTAATCCTTCGTTCTTCCTTTATTCTGCTAGCTGTATTTTCCTTGTTTTCCTCTTTTCCCTGCTTCCATAATAATATCCAAAATTTACATAAACATGTGAGGCAGTCACCCTGTAGATTTCTACTTGCATTAAGAGAAAAATGCTCACAATTCATATGACTTTAGGATGAGAATTTTGAGGGAAAGGAAAGGAGGGATTCAGAAGTGAAAATGTGTGAAGGCACTATGGCAGTAAGATGAGGTTTATAACATGATATTTGAATAGGAAAAAAATGTGTGGAATTGTGAGATTTAATTTGGTTGTTGTTTAAACTTTCACTTCTGCTCTTTGAAATCTTGAATGTATTTCCCTAAATAGTGTCTTCCTTGTCCTTCCAATTTCCTTCTTACCGGATTGCTTATGCAGAGCACTCTCATACAATAAAAGAAAAACCTATCTCACTTCTGTGAATGCTCCTTATTTCCCGTTAATCGGTAAGCACATTCTTGCTGAACAGACACCCATCATTGTTCAGGTTATGTGTTGAGTTTATAATGGATCTGTTTTCTTTTTAGTGGCCTATCTTATGTGAATCCCATGTAAAAAGGCACGTTGAACAGAATACAGCGAGTCTCATTGACTTTCTGCTTCTGAATCTTGTTGTTTATTAGCTCCATCGGATAGCCGCAGAGACGTGGTTGTGTCATTGCCCGTCTTTGTCCTTGACCCTAAAGCTACCTGAGTGCTGAGGACGTTAGTGAGTGTCAGGAACTGCTTGTCCTCTGCGTTACGTGCGGGAGAGGTCCCAGTGTGTCCTCACGGAGGCAGACGGGTCTTGCGCCTTGGAAAGGGAGTCCCACGAGCGACCTTCGGCGTGCCTGGCTTGCACACTTTCCTCTACTCCAGGAGCTTGCTTTTACCTAGCCCCTGATACGTGTTCTAGGAATTTAATTTCTTTTAAGCTATGCAAAACATAACCAACTGTTGCAGTGGTTTTTTTTTAATGTTTTCTTTTTGCTGCAATTGTTGAGACAGTGCCCAATGGCTTCTTTTGTTTGAATTGTTCTTCACCATGCTTATAAACAACAGAGCGTTCCTTTATAAGTGTCCCTTGCTTATTTGTGATGTTGTGTCGAGATCTTAACTGTAGCCAAGTTTTTCCTTTCCTGGGGATCTTCCTCCAGACCTCTCTGTGTTTTCCATAGCCAGAACTTTAGTCACAAATAGTGCTAGAATCCATCTGCCTTAAAATTGTGCTTAAAAAGAAAGATATAATAATTAAATTAATATTGCCTCAGGGATCCAAATGTATTATGTTTCACTGTTTTACTTATAAATAGTTGCTTAAATGTTTTATTTGGCATGAAAATCATGTTTTTTCTAACTGCCACAGATCATTAACTTACTTAGGGTTCCTCCTACTTTTTTATGCTTGATCATCAGTAATGAGCAACTTCAAAGCCAAATGAATCCTCAGTTATATGTCTCCCTGCAATATTTTTTGAAATATGTGAAGATGGGAGGGAGAGTAGGAATAAGATCTCCACAGCATCTCCAAGAGTGAACACTGAATAGTTCTAGTCCCATTCTAGAGAAACATCTTCAGTCTGGTGAACAGAGTAGTTTCTTCAACAGTTAATATACATGAGTATTTAGGAGTAGTACCTGCAGGCAGTTTGTACACCCAGTCTCTGCTTTCTTGCAGTCAAGAAGATCAGTGTAACTTTCGCACAGTCTCACTGTCCTTTCCAGGTTTTCCTAGCAATGGATGGTTGCTGCTAGATTTGCTCTATTGAAAGTACTTTCTGAATCTGTAAAATGATAAATATGGTTATGCTGTGAAGCCAAATTTTATTATTCCAAATTATAGTCAATAACATTTTCTCAAGTACATAATTTCTGCATTATTAAATCACAACTTTGCTAGTAAAAAAAAGTATTTATTTTTATGTAATTGCAAAGGAAAACAGTTTTAATTTCTTCAGGACCAGAACTTCATATGTAATATGGTTCTTTTGTTTGTTTGTTTGTTTGTTTTGCTGTAGGTTACACAAGAGGCAGGGGAATTTATGATCACTTTCCCATATGGATACCATGCAGGATTTAACCATGGTTTTAACTGTGCAGAGTCAACAAACTTTGCCACATTCCGATGGATTGATTATGGAAAAGCAGCAAAACTGGTAAGTTATTTTGCAGAACTGACGCCTAAGAAAATCTTACCTAAAGGAGCAATTAATCTTTCAAGTTACCAGATAGCTTACAGTGTATGTTGGTATAATAACTGCGAGCCCCAAGCAGAAACTTGTTAGCTTATGACTGAAGCCATGACTGAAGTTGTATTGAAGCTTCCTGACACTGAAATTTTGTTGTGCCACATACGTTTTTGGCTTCTTTTCATATGCAGAATGTCATATACAGAATCAGGTAAGTATGCAACTTGTTCAGGAAACAATTGTTTCAGAATTACGAATTTTCAGAGTTGTGGCTTATGTAAACTTTGGTTAATATGATTCCAGAAATATTTAATGTAGAGGCATTTTCTGCATTAAAATGATTATTACTGAGGAAAGCATAGTGGCTTGGTTAGTATATTATATTAGCCAATGAGATGACAAGGAATAGAGTGCAAAACTGATGTGCAGGTTTAACGTTATGTAACTGATAAACTCTCATTAAACACTTAGTTTGGAAGACTATGTTCTCAAATACTGCAAAGCATCTGAAATACTAAGAATACTAAGAACTACTAGCAAGTTCTCAAATGCTGGACATTTATGGTTCTGGGCACTCTCAATTATTGTTAATGGAATTGAGGAGTATGTTTCAAAACATAAAAGATCTGTAAATAATCTCGGTTTATTTTCCACATTTCTTTCCCACTTTGTATATGAAAGTAGTGAAAATATCAATGTGCATTGTTGCCTGATCCACCTTCACTTTTAATGGGAAACTTGCTTATACAATAGCCAACCGATAAAATACAGACTATGAAATCAATTAAAACACACATGTATTTAATAGTATTTCAGTGGACCGTATAGTTGAGACATTTGAAAGAAATGTGGGCATGGACATGTTACTGAGTTAATTTTACAGCTAAAGCTATCCTGAATTTTAGAAGCTATGAATGTGTTACAACTCTAAAATCGATTCAGGCAAACCTCAAGAAAAGCAAATTTTATCCTTGGATACAGTGAGGCTGAGCTGGTGATACCTTCAGCTGCATCAGTTGCATCACTGAAAGGCTCCTGCGTTATAGCGTACAACCTATTTTTATGCTTTAAAAATCACAATATACCTTTCTGGGGCAACTGCATATTTGCTATGCTTTCAGCATGGTCTCTCAGTTACTGTATTATGCTGCAAATTCAGAGAGTCAGAATCAGATTCAAAAGAATTAGAAGATAATTTGCCAAGGTTAAAGAAATTTTTAACTAGGTAGTTATGACTTACCTGCTTTAAATACAGTTTTACTTATTTAGAACTCTTGTGTGTGAATATAACTTTCATTACACGACAGTAGATTCTGTGCTGCATGGACAAATAGGAATGTGCTGCAAATAGGAGTAGTGTTGTGTACAAGTTCTTATACTATGTATGTCTGCAGTTTAATTTAAGTGTTCGCCAGTTTCAAAGTGGCAGCCGAATCAGTAATAATTAGAATTTTTGTCTAAGGAGAAATATCGTCATATGTGAACTCTATTTTTTTGGCATGTAGTCTAGGAGCTTAATGTTTTTTTTTTTCTATTATTTATTACAAAAAAGGCATGTAAGTATATATATTTTTTATCACTTTAAATAAAGAGTCTTGCAAGGAAGTGTTAATAGTGTCTCTTTTCCAAAGCGAGTAAAAAAAAAATTCAGCCAACAGAAAGGTCTTGAACTAATTCTATGTAATACTTTTGCAAACTAAGCATTGTTCAAAGGATTGATTGTGATTTTGTGTGATGCTTCAAAAACACAAAAAAAATTTCCAGAATTACTGCAAACTGAGTATTCTGTTTCTTCATTATGGTATTTCTCTAAAAAATACAAAAGAAAGGCGGTGATTATTTTTATCACAACTTCAGGAAACTTCCTGAAAATATTAATTAAAGAGGAAATATCTTTACATTTCCATTTGTCATTCTTTAGAGTGCTGATCTTATATTTAATGCATCTTTTCTTCCTATGTGTAGAATGTACAAGAATTTTGAACTGAAAAAAAAAAAAACACGTTTTTTGGATCTCCTGCTTGCTCTGCATTGTAGTGGAGAGGTTGTTTGTGTCAGCAAATTACTGTTGTGTCAGCAGTAATATCTAGGGTCAGTTCTTTGCTGCATTCTGTGAAGAATTTTGCATGCTGATGACTAATTATTTGTCTCCCTATGGAAACATGTTTATTTTTACAGAACATTTTATAATTGCTTACAGCTGGATCTCTGCCTTAGAAAAGAAAAAAAAGATTGTGAAGTACAGTCAATATTCATTCTTTCTTAATTTTTTTGGGGGAAAAAAGCAAGTGTGTAATTGTATGAATTTCTATTAAAGATATAATAAATATTTAGGCTAAGTGATGATACTGCTTTCCATCATAAATCTGTTGAAGGTTCAGTGAAATTGTCTGCAAATGTTAAATCAAAGTCCGCTTAGACCCTTAGTATTGGACAAGCAAGTGAAGCACTGACTATAGGTGCAGACTCTGAAAATGGTTTTCTGCCCTTGAAGATGCTGCACTCAGGTGCTGATGTGCAGTTTCATAGAGTGCATTTTGAGCTACCTTACACTAGTGCATTTTTCTTGTTGTTAGTAAAACAGTTGAGTCAGTGGCAATTAGCTTGCATGTTTTGCTGGGATATGTTTTGATTTATGCTGAACAGGAAAATTGTGCTGAACAAGGGCTGATGTTTAGGTATTAAAGTTGCTGAAAAAGAGTGTTTACACACAATGCTTTAATAGTTATTAAATAAAAATCCAGAAACATTTGGATAGAAGACACATCTCTAGTCTGAGGAAAATCTTGTGTTTCTTTAGTTAGGATTTAATGTTTGCTGTGGGGGTGGAAGAGGAAAAACGTGTAATTTGTAAAGCGTTTGTATTCATTTCAACATCTCATGTAGTCTTCCCAATCAGAGATCTTTCTGTTTAGCAAAGAAAAGTTAATATAATGGTTTGTTGTTTCCTGTTCTTAGGCGTCTGTTTCTAGGAGTATTGCACAGGACTATTTATTGAATATCTTCTATATCTTTTTATCTAAATATCTTCTATCAATATATTTATTCCCTTCCAATTTTCATCAAAAAATGCTCATTGAAAATGCTTAATTTATGGTTAATTGTGGTTAGTTTGTAGTTTTCCTATATCCCTCATTACTTACATTTTTTACAATGTACCTCTACATTTTATCATGCTTTTAGATGTGTTTACTTACCAAATTCTAATATCCTTCACCTGTCATGGTGTAAGAAATCTAAATTTGTTTAAGAAATCTAATTTGCCTGGTGGAATATCATCTCATATATATTGCAACTGTAAGACTGCTTGAGGAATTTGGTGTGGGCCTCATAGTATGTAGCACATTCCTAAGCACTGCTGTGAGTGGGTGTTGATTCTGTTTGCTATTCTTTGCATAGCCCTTTTTGATATGTGCATTTTAATGTGATAAATGGAGTTCTTTGGACTCTCTGAAAAATCCTTCTCTGAGCCATGTGCTCCACCTGAGCTGGGTGGATTCAGGATAACAAGTGCTCTGATCAGGGAATGGAGTTCAGAAGTGGCTCTATGTGGAAAATAACCAGAATGATGTGACCAGGCTTGGTCAGGGTTCTCTTTTTCACTCACTAGGGGTAATTTTAGTTTGCTCCCTTCCATCTCTTAAGTCCCCACTTGGCCATGTCTGTTTTTCCAGATCCTGTCATCTCAGTCTCTTCCCTCTGTCATCCCTTTCCTGACACCCTTGTTCTCAGAGGCTTTGGAGAACGCACTGGCGTTTCCACGCATTGTTCCCATCTCTCACTGTGCCTGTTTTACAGCAGCACTTGATGGCTTTCATCCAGTGTAAATGTATGTAAATTATTGCCTTACATCAGGAGCAGAGTCACATGGGGTGATTTTACTAGTAATTATAATGATTCCTTTGTATTACAGCTCTTCTTGAAACTGGGTTGGTTTTCAGATGTTGAAGGGTTCTGTGCTGGAAATCTTTTCATTACTTAGCTGATGTGCAGAACCTGAAAAGAGAAGTCTGCTGACCTTTTCTGCTGAAGACTCAGGCTACCCAAGTATTACTGCGTCCTTTCATAAAATTAAGTCAGCAATTACACACGGATATTCTTCAGTTGTAGCTGCTTAGCAACCTGTTTTCTGTGGATAGGTTAGATCAAAGTACTGGCCTGCAGGTTGTATTCATTTTTCCCTTTGGTGGGATGAAGTGCAGTTGTTTTGATGCTAGGTTTGATGGATTTGTTTGCCACTGCATTCATTAGCTTCACATCAAAAAACTGACAGGCTGTTAAATGAAACTTTGGCTTAGATTTTCAGCTTGACTGTTTGGAGACATTTGTGAAGATATTTTTTTCTTGTGCTGCAGAAGCCTCAAGCACTTATGACTCTTTCAAAGAAAAGAAAAGTTATTTACTATCCTGATTTGTTTGGGTAAAAAAGAATCATTGTTTTGAGGATAGCCCTGTCCGGTTTATGCTATAGAAGGTAATACATTTATTTAAGATCATGCAGTGAGAAGTGATATATAGATATAATTATATTGGATGTTTTATTGGATGAGAAATTATATTTAGTGACCACAGAAAGGCACTTTTGACCTTTTACAATCTGTAGAGATAACAATTTCTTTAATGAGGACTAAATTTCAATTGATTTTATATAAGAAAATGTAAGAGCCATTACTAAAAAAAATACTCAATTGCCTTTCCTTTAAAAGGAAAGCAAATGATGTTTAAAGGTTTAAGCTTAAATTATATTGCTACTCGAACACCAGTGTTTAGTGCTGAATGTCAGCAATAGCTACATGTGTGAGCTCATGAATGATTAATTCATCAGCTTGTTTTACTAGTTTGGATTATGTACTACTGTGAAAGTCAGCGGTTTTTTAGTACTGTGTCTTGGTACATCTGGTGTCAGTTTGCAATGATATCGGCATCATTTAAACACATTCATGCCTTTACTTGCTGGGATCATAACT